CCGTGCCCTGCAAACTCAACCCCGCCGAAGCCCTGTCCCCCAAGGTCTACGGGGGCTTCCAGCTCGTCCCTGCTACCGATGGCCAGTTTGCTTTTCTCATCCCGAACCCGGCTTTCCCTCCCAGCTCCGGACCGGTTATTCCCCTGTACGCCAACGCCAACGTCCCGGTGTCCGCAGGCAGCGGCTCCGGGGACGGCCGCCACCCCGTCAGCATCCCCGGTCCAGGGGTTGACATCATTTGGGGGCAGCATTGTTCCAGCGTCCCAGGCGGGAAGTCCCATCGGCGAACGCAGTGAATCGGTGTGGAGGCCTTGGTGACTTGTCTAAAGCGATTTACCCCCTCTCCAAAAAAAACTCTTCTGTTGGCTCCGTTGTATGGAGCCCTGTTACGTTTGGGGTTTTTTAAGCAGATTTAAACAGAAAGGAGAGGAAAAAAGGACCTCGCTATGAACGTGCTATTTATTATTTTCAGAGGTTGGGATCTCGACTTGTATTTTTACTCCTTTAAAATGCCTTTATTTGAGATACTTTTTTTAAAAAAATAAATGAGACATAGTTTTGTAACAAATATTCAAAAATATAATGCCAAAGTTGTTTGTATCCTGTTTGTCTGTGTGTGTGTGTGTGCCTGTGTTGAAGACTTCCAAAAAAGAAAAAAAATTGCAGGTGTTTAAATAAATAAATTCTTTGAAATAGATTTAATTTTTTTTTCCCCCCTTCCTTTCATTTTGTTGGGTGTGAGTGGGCACGGACGAGCTCATCCTGTGTGTGCAGCCCCCTCAAAAAAGTAGGAGTGAACTTTATGGTCTTCAGTAAGGCTGTTGGAAGGGATTCCTGTGAAGAACAGTTGGGGGGAACGTGATGGGTTTGAGGGGGGTCTAGCAGTTAAATGCCTCTGGAGAGCTTTGTGGGTGTCATGTTCTGGCTCAGAAGAAACATTCCTAAAAAAACTGCTGCTGGAACCCGAGGAAATGCTGCCTGCTCGGAGAGCCCCTGGCATAACACAGCTCTTCACATTTCGCTCCTGGCCACCTTGTCGTGGGGGTGGTGTGCGCAAAAGTTACTATCTCGCCTACAAAAGCGGCAAGAGAGTCTGTCCCTATTGTGAGGAGGGTAATTAGAAGGTATAAAGGGTCTCATCGAGTATGCAGCGGGCTCTTTGGGAAGTTGGGAACCCTATTGAAACGCCTGGGAACTCGGAGCTGAGGGTTAATGTGTGTCTTTTTTTTTCTCGCCACTCTCATTGACAGGGCCAGATAGACTCTGATACTCAATGCTGTTGTAAATTCAATTGCCTGGCCTCACAATGCCTACCTCATAAAAGAGAATAACTCGGGGTTGTGGCTTTTTTTTTCCCAGTAAGCAAGGGAGCTGAGGAAAAGACAGTTTTGCCACCCATTCTGACTCACCCCCAGTACTTGAATCCTGGCCAAGTGGAAGCAATTGCAGCCTCACACACACAGAATTAACCACTTCCAATTGTCACCAATTAATAAGGCCGTGGTGTGAAGACCATTAGGAGTGAATGCACAGTATGGAAGGGAAATCTTTGTGTGCTTTGCTCCAAATTTATGAGGTGGGGCTATCGTGTAATCTTGGAGAGCAAAGCCAACAGATGACATGTGTGCGTGCCAGAGCCACGTCTAGAGGCATAACCCATCTCACTGGGATTCCTCCATCCTTGGATCTGTGGGATCCCCATAGGCAAAGCTGATTCTCCTGCCCTCCCTCCCTGAGACCCAGGGCTTTTCCTGGCAGGTGGGTGAGGTGGGCTGGGTCGCGGTGGGACTGGCAGCGTTTCACAGTTCAGAGAATGACCTGATGTTTGCAGAACATCCAATTAATTCAACAGGCCTAGGGATTTTTTAGGATGGAAATGCAATTTCATCTTTCAAGGTCTAGTTCTGTTAGCAATCAGGTTGCAGCTTCTGCGAGAACAAGGCAGTGTGTGTGTGTGTGTTGGCGGGTATATAAAGCAGATTATCTGCTTCTGAAGGCTTTCTTACACCTCCATGAGATTTCGGCCAAGGTTAGGTATAGGAGTGCAGGCTGCTTGGAGCCTGGTACTGATCCAGTCCAGCAATCCCTCTGCACCAGAGCGTGGGCAATCGATCAGCGCTGAAAGTCCTCCATCGCACAACCAGAGCTAGATATCCGTTTGAATCGGGAGGTTCCCAGGAGGTTTTGTTATGCAATCACAGACATAAAATCATGTTACAGCAATTCTGTTCCATCCCCCACAGCCAGTTACTACCCCTCCTCTTCTGTCTGAAGGAGGCTTGGAAGAGCAGATGAAAGCCTGCCTGTCGCCTGCGTGTAACCGTATACCTCCCTGGGGCAGCACCATGCCTCTGGACTTGCCCCTCACTGCCCAGTCCCCTCCAGATCACCCCTAGATTCTGCAAATTTCTTTTATTGACAAGGTACCCAGGCCAAAAGCGAGACTGCCAAGCACTACGCTGCTGAGTTCAGGCACAGAAAAAAACTCTTTTCTGAGTGGGTTTTGATTGATTGCAGCAGTGCAAACATGACACACACCGTGGCGTTCCCCCGGGACGCTCATCTCCCAATGCAAGAGCAGCAGTCAGTCACTTCCTTGCCTCTTCAGTAAGACCCTGAGATGCAAACACATAAGGGTACCACTATTATTTCAGCCTCCATATAAACACTGCAAGCCCCAGTGCTCAGCACCCTACTTGTATGTCCAGCACTGCCATCTGCTCTTTTTTTGGCCTTGGGCAAGTCATAATCTTCTCTGTGCCTAGGTCCAGTGGTGTAGGAGCTGGACATGAGGTGCATGGCACCGACAAACTTGCATGCCAGAAGCTCAAAGTCCTCGTGCAGCAAGGGATGTTGTTGCCCTTAACTCCAGACCGCTTCAGAAGACGTACAGCTGGAGTTCAACCACTGTGTCTGCCCTTGGGTTGTACCCAGACCCTGCAACTGCTCTTCTGCCTCTGCCAGGCTACTCCTCTATAACTGGGTGGCTGCCATGCTCCTTCAAGGCTCTCTATACAGCTGCTTTTCCAGATCATGATAAATTTGGTCTTATCCCTTTAAAGGTGTAGTAAAAGGGCAGAGTATGCCTCTGTGGAAAGGTAAAAGTCCAAAGGGATGGACACAGTGCCAAAGCGATAATGGTTAGGCAGAGTGCAGGCAGCCAGAAGTCCATGGGTGTAATGGCATGATCTGGGTGTGGTGGAGCAAGACGAGGTGGGAGGAAGACAGCAGAGGAACCCAGCTGGCCTGTGATGCCTCCTCCAGCTGAACTTCACTGCATCAGCTCTACCTTGCTCCAAGGGAAAAGATACAGGGGTAGCTGTTAACTAGCCATTTCCAGAGCTGGCAGAAGGCTAACCAGAGCTAACCAGCTGCAAAACTCAGAGAAAAGTTTTGCGGTAGTTCAGCTATGTCTCCACAGCACCGCAGCCCCAACAGGCATCCCCTGAGAAGCACTGCTGGCTGCAAGGAAAGTCAAACGCATGGCCTCAGGAGACAAGCAAAGCCCCTTTCAGCCTCTGGGCTGGCCCAGTTCACCAGCCAGCAAAGAACCGCCCAGGAAAAGCACCCGAAGCTCTGGCTCAAGTCTTTTTCCCTTCCCATCTCCTGCCCTGGTGCCTTTGCATTCTTCTGCTTGCAAGTTTCTGAGAGGAACTTTTTTGGGGTTATCCTCTTGCCTGGGCTCTGCTCCCTGCCCCACACACCTGTTTCCTGGCCCTTTGCCTCCTCCGACTCCAGCTACATCTCCTTCCCTGCTGCTGCTGCTTGGCTGTTCCCCTTCCCAGCCCGGGAGGGAGCGATGCAGCCCACAGGACCTGGCACTGGGGCAGCGCAGGAGCTGCCCATCCCTCTCTTTCCACCTGGGGTCTTGCCCCCGGTCCCGTCCTGGCAGTAGTCCCACTGGAAGGGGGGAAAGGGCTGTGTGAGGGGCCCGGCAGTGTTACAGAGGAGCTGGGGGCTCTGGGCTAGTCTCCCCATTATACCACAGCCAGCCTGCCACTGGTCAGGGAGAGGGGGCTGTGCACATCCCCGACCCCCTCGACCCAGTACCTTGGCTGGCGCGCACCGCTGCATCCTTTTGGGTCGTGCATCCCAAAGACCCTCCGAGGAGAGGGAGCGGTTCCTCTGGCTCAATGGATGCAGCCAGATTTACTCAGGCTGTTAAGTTGATTAATTGAAATGAAGTTCCTCCAGAGAATCGGCGTGTTCTTTGGGGTCAGGGTCACAACACTGAGACGCTTAATCAGATCTTTCCATTTAGCCCCTCTTAGGCAGGCTGGAATGCAGGCTCTTTCAAAGCGAGGCGGTTGGCGCCAAATTTCTGCTCTGCTATCTCGCCTCTTCCATTACATTTAACCAGCACATCCATCATTATGAAATAAAACCCAACTCTACAAATCCAGCTCAGGTGATCTTTCCGCAACTAAAGCCGGTAGGAAAGAAAACAACTGCATCCAAGCTTGATGTTGCTGTTGTTTTAAAAAGCGATGCAGAATGGTGCGGAAAGGGTAACTGTCACTCTAAGTCAGTCCTGTCGGAGGAAGGGGGCAGATGTTTCTGTGTGGATAACAAATTCCTTTATCTGACTGAAGCATTTCTCTGGGGAAGGTGGAGGAGGTTATTATAAGGTTACCCCGAACTATTGTTAAAGAAAGGGGTTTTCATTGCAATTCAAGAGCCCGTCTTATTACCCAGAGATAAATCACTCCTGTATGGCTGGGGAGCAGTTCTTACGCAACAGACAAGCTGGATCCCACACGCAGTAAGAGCATGGAAAGTTTGTCCATTGTATAACTGATCGGCCAGAAGTTAGCACATCCAATTAGCACGTACGCTTCTGTGGATCTCCTCCGTTCCCGCTTCACTCCCTGTAAGCAGAAGGATGTTTCTTACATCTGAATGCATTCATTGAAAATAATGTAATTGTTCCTACTTCTTTATCAGACAATGCAGGGCCAGAATCTCCATTTTGCTGTATGGCAAGATGTTTATAATTGCAGTGGCAGGATCAGAAGTGCAGTAGATTGCATGGTGTCTTTAAGCAGAGCTGCATAAGCAATTAAGGGACCCCCCAGATCTTGGTAATGCTGGCTGGTATGAGGGTCTTCCCCCAAACCCAACCCTTTCCCATTCACTACTCTAAAGTTCAAGACAACAGCCACAAAGTGTAGTCTATACTGCAGACATCTACGAGATGTGGATCTTTATCTGTCACAACCAGGCTCTGCAAAAGCTACCAGGGCTTTGAGGGAGTCTGATCTTCAAGAACTGCTGAGTTTTGCTCTTTAAGGCACCTTAAACTGAACAGTAACATAAAT